AAAATTGATTGGCTCAAACCTTATATATGAGACCACAAGTAAGATAGTTAAAATCAGGAAGAACTTCCAAACAGCAAAGAGTAGCCAAAAGAGTTATGCGGACACCCAAAGGAAAGATTTGAAATTTGAGAAGGGCGATCAGGTATTTCTTAAGTTCACCCCCTTTAAGGGTATCAGTAGATTTGGAAAGAGAAAAAAGTTAAATCCCCGGTTCATTAGGCCGTTTGAGATTTTGAACAGGGTCGGTACATCTGCCTATAGACTAGTACTACCTCCATAGCTATCCAGAATCCATAATATATTCCATGTGTCTATACTACGTAAGTACAACCCAAATTTCTCGCATATCTTGTCTCATTAGCTATTTCCACTCAATGAGAATCTATCTTATGAGGAGGTACCGGTGCGTATTTTGGACTGGAAGAGCAGAGTACTTCGCAACAGAGAGATCCCATTCGTTAAGGTCTTACGGCAGACTTCAGAGTCTAGTATCCCCAACTGTTTGACTAGTGAGAGAATGACAAATTTGAGTTACCAAATTTTTTCTTAAGAGAATGAGAGTTATAATACCCGGACCCAGAAATTTAGCCCGAGATAATTTAATATTAATAAGAAAAATAAATTTAAATAATTTTAATTTTAATTTTTATGAATTTTTTTATAAAAATTAGATTTTGGATGTATTTGAAAATATTTTAAAAAATTAGGGACAAAGTAGAAATAAGAGAGGACCTATTTGAAAAGAAATCTAAAAAAGTGGGTAAAAATAAGATTTTTAAAAGTTTGGCCACATGGACAACCACGTCAACGGCGCAGCCAGCCTCCGTGCATCGTGTGACAGACACATGGACACACGTCCACGCGAGTGATTCGCGTGCTAGTGGATCCAACGGCCCAAATCACATCCCGCGTGCACGGACGACCTAGATCTGTTTCCTCTTCAGACATGATCAGACGATTGGATTTAATCGTGATGGACGACCCAAATTTCCACATCGATCGGCCTAAACGAGTTTCGAATCAGACAACTCTCCTTGCTCCACGTCGATGCAAATGGTCGGCCAAGATCACGGGGAAGAGAGGTATGGCCAAAGGAAAGTTCAGCTGCTGAAGAACATCGTCACCACCGCATCGGAGCCATGACCAA